GAAGTATAAGTAATAGATGGACCATATTGACATTATTAGGAATTGACATAATTCTATTAATAATGCGTTGTCATATGGAAAATATGGAAATGTTTTCATAATGGGAGTTGGATATTAAGAATTTGTGTGTAGGTTAGAAACTTTTATGCAAGAAGGATGTTCAAAAGAATGTACTTTGAATTTGAGACTTCGCTTCCTTGGAATTGTTTTGTTATCAATCTCCATTAGAATGTTTTGTAATATCGTTAGCAAAGTGTTTGTGATTTGGTACCATCACATTACAAAATGAATCATTGCATGGTAGTTTAGAATCTTACACTTATGATAAAGATTTGGAATTGTGAAATGAGTTTGTGTTTATTTCACAAAGAAAGGGCCATAGGAAAACATAGTGTGCATGCTTGGAGCATGGGATAACTATTGTATTAATTTAAGTATTAATTTGATTAATCAAAACATTATACAATGAATAATGTATAATCAATATGGTGATTAAATAAAAGGTGTTTTATTTATATTCAAAAGTTTTGAGACCATATTGAATTCGATTATTCTAGTGTTTCACTTTGCATGTTTTGACTTCCCGAATAATAAGGTTATTCAGACTATCCACAGTCGATCGTACTTTGGAAGTAGGTATTGAGGTAAGACTATCATGAATCCGTCTGTAGATTGTCTAGAGTGTTTAGACATAGCAAAAGTTTGCTATAATATTCATGAGTACTCATGTGATAAGATTTGAGTATTGGATTAAACCCACGCTCATCTGAATCACTTCATGGATTTCATCACAAGTGATTGTGAGACGATAATATCTTATATTCTTGAAACGAAGACATATAGTTGCAATTTACAAGTCGGTTGCACATTGATGATATATAAACGCAAGTTGCAATTTACAAGTCGGTTGCACATTGATGATATATAAACGCACCAGTAACTTGGTGTTATAAAAATATTGTTGTGTGTGATTTGATGAGTAAATAGAGCAAGCATATGAGTCGAATTTTATCCATTCCTTTTAACCTAAGATGGATAAAAGCGATATATTTGGGCCCCTCGATGATTTAGTGATGACAACCCTAAGCGCTTGGCCAAGCCTAGGCTGATTTGATTTGTTCAATTAGTCAGTCGTCATAAATCGGAAATCATGAAACAACACATGAACAGAGAGAATGATTATAATCCATGTCTCAGTTCATACGATATCTAGAATGGAGGAATATATGATCCCTTATCTAATGGACGCGTCAGAGTTCGACAGCGGCTTTTGAGAGCTACGATTGCTAGTCGGTTTTTTCAAGTCGTACTTGTAGTTATAGTTACAAGACTTATCCAAGTGGGAGACTATTGAATTAGGTGTCTAAGTCCATAACTATAATTGGTATGTACTTGACCCGAGATTAGCATGGTCTATTTTGGGTTGCATTCACCAAAGCAATTTGATAGGATGGATATTTGAGAAAGAGGTTATTTGTGATTTATTAATATATTATAAGTATAATATATTGGTTGAGAAATTATATTATTTAATTAGTATTGATCAAGAATTAATTTTGAATTAATTTAGTGATCAAAAAGAGACTAATTAATTAACGGGGACTGATTAAGTAAATCAGTGATACTTATAGTTTGGGCTAATGATCCATGTTGATTATGTGGACTAAATCTTTGTGGAGTCCATGAAGATTTAGTCCAAAGGGCTTATCATATGGATTATTGGATTAAAGGTCCAAGGAAGTGAATTAGGGTTTACAAGTTGAAACTCTTGGAATTCTACACTATAAGTGTAACCCCTAAAACCCTAAAATTGGCACTTGTTAGCTGTAGTACAATGCTATAATGTGTTAGATGCAATATGTGTAATTTGCTAATTAATATATATATATATATATATATATATATATATATATATATATATATATATATATATATATTAAAGTTGTCTTGCAAGATGAATAGTGAACTTGAGAGTTTTTGGCAGAAATGGTCCCCCGTTTATGTAAGTGTGTTCAAATCGTCTTTATGGTCATTTTATGTCAATATCCGTATTCTTTGTGGACACGTGTCGTTCATCGTTCGTCGGATTTGTTGATGTTTATCTTAGCGACATTTTGGAATTTTCCACCCCCTCTCCGATCAAATGTCTTTTCTATTCTATGTTCGCACCCCCACAACTACCGCTTGCTTTCTCTCCCATGTCTATTCATCGGCTGCAGTCGGGTGTTTCTCACTCTTTGTCTCTCATATCGTGAATTCTGACGACGCACTAGTAACCAATAAAGCTAATTAAGAAACAAAGGAACTGCTTAGGTTTGTTTTTCTTGCCCAAGTTCCTCATAGTTTCGCGCTTCCTTTACACTCAACAATCTCATCAAAAAAAACTCTCTCTAAGTAGTAAATTAACCTAAGTGATTTGTGGGTTGAATGTATCAGTTTGCGAATTCATTTCGGTTTTGTTTTTGAATAATATTTTTCTGGGACTTCTTGGACAAGGGTTTTAAGTTCCTGAAAGGGTTTCGATCAACTTACCGAATGCCCTTTCTATTCTCTGTTCGCACCCCCACAACTATTCTTTGTTCACATCAAAACAAATGCCCTTTCTATTCTCTGTTCGCACCCCCATAACTACCGCTCGCTTTCTCTCCCATGTCTATTCATCGGCTGCAGTCGGGTGTTTCTCACTCTCTGTCTCTCATATCGTGAATTCCAATGACGCACCAGTAACCAATAAAGTTGATTAAGAAACAAAGGAACTGCTTAGGTTTGTTTTTCTTGCCCAAGTTCCTTGCAGTTTCGCGCTTCCTTTGCACTCAACAATCTCATCAAAACAAACTCTCTCTAAGTAGTAAATTAACCCAAGTGATTCGTGGGTTGGAGGTATCTGTTTGCGAATTCATTTCGGTTTTGTATTTGAATAATATTTTTCTGGGATTTCTTGGATAAGGGTTTTAAGTTCCTGAAAGGGTTTCGATCAAGTTACTGAATGTGTTTGCTTTTTTGTTCATTAGAAAATTCATAATATGTCGATAATTCCCTATTTTCTTTTCTTTCTGGGTACTCCATGTGATGATCTTTATACTAACGAATCTAAGGTTTCACGGGTGTTTTGATCCTGCATTCGAAAATGCTACAATCGTTGATTGATTTTAGTTTGTGTTAACAAATGTGATTTCGTTTCATTCCATGTGCTTCTTTCTCGATTTTTTGTTGGTTCTATGAGAATTAAAATACAATGTCTTCTGATCAGTTACATGTGCATATTATGTGTTTGTTAAAATATCTAAACCAAATTTTACCCTCAATTTTTTCTAGGAGAACCATCAATGGGTTCAGATTATGGTTATTCAAGCACTAGAAATTTAGGTAAAACCCAACTTGGTGGAGTAATTTTTGGTGCCAAAAAGACAACAATCAAAGAATGTCTTTCAAAGCAAGTCTTTGGTAAGTCCCAAAACTTCACTTACAATCACTCTTTTCCACTCAAATCCCATATTAAACCACAAAAAACTTCGATTCGTAGTTTCTTACTAATACAAATTACAAAATCGTAACAGGTTTACCACATCAACACTTTGTGTATGTGAAAAGAAATCGACCCTGGTCTCCCAATATTTCTCTTCAAGTATACAGATAGAACGTTACTTGGCATCTTTGAAGCTGCCAGCTCTGGTCAAATGAACATTGGCCCATATGCATGGAATAGTGATGGTTCACAAAGAGCACCATATCCTGCTCAGGTACACTATATAAGTAGTATTGTCTTTGACATGCATTGGACTTAGACAAAAAGACACAAATACCCTCATCATACTTGTCATTGAAAACTTGATGTTTTAAATTAGGTTCAAATCCAAGTAAAGCTGCAATGCACTTTGAATTGATGTCGATTATCATTATTACTGTTAGTTTTAATAGCAAAGTACTTTGAATTTGTTGGATTTCAACTTATTTTTTATCAAATGTGCGTTTTAAACTTTTTACAAATGTGTTATATAATGTTTTGATCTCTTTGTTTTGAATGGTTTTAAATGCAATATTCAGGATTTTATAGCAACTGATCATTGACATGATGTGTTAGGGTCTGGCCGGCAGGTAAGTTTCAATCAAGTCGAACCGGTATGCCCCCATCCTCTCTTTTTAAATCCATCACAAGTTCCTCTTCACCCTTCTTTTTTCTCTTATTATTATTTTTTTGGCAGATTTGGTATATGATTGTATAATGTTCGTTGTCGGTTGATGGGGTATGTGCTCTATAATATACTCTTATTCTTAAATTTGATCGCGTTTAAAAAATCATATAAGATGTTGTTGTGATTCTATAGGATTTCGCTTTTTCCTGTTCCTCGGGTTAGCTCATTATGTGATAAGGCAAAGGAAATCCAGATGAAAGAATGCAATGTTCAGGTATCTTCTCATTATCATTCCCTAATACTTAAGAATGCCAAAAATGTGAGATTAAACAATTTAGATATGTTTGTTCCTGTCTTTTGCAGCCTATTAAAAGCCCATTGACAATCTGGGGGGGGGGATATTCATGGATAATTTCATGATCTTGCAGATCTTTTTAGGATTGGTGGAAAGCTGTGTGTTATGTAATGATATAATAAATTGATATGATATAACTTATGAGCATTTTCACACTGCTAGCTTCATCTGCGTTTCATCTTAATTTAGGCCATTGGTATATTATAGCGCAGATACCCCATCTGTTGGAATCCTAAGTCATGTAGGACTTGGAGACCAAGAATCTTGGAGCTTAAGCAAGATAGGTTTAAGTTTCCTTGTCTAATTCTACAAGTCGGTAGTTTATATATATATATATATATATATATATATATATATATATATATATATATATACCGAGTCATGGTTTGTACAGAAAACAATATAGGTTTTGAGTGATTTTCCTATTAATCAAAGAGATAGTTTGATTACTTGTGTTTTCTATTATCTTGAATTGGTATCAGAGCTTGAGTCAAGAAGCAGTGAGATCAAAATTCTAACCTGTTGACAAGCTAGGTCAACATGGCTGATGCAGGGGGAGACGGAGGACCTGCTCCGGTGACTGTGAAAGAAACCGAATCGACTTCAGTACAATGTCCCATGCTCAATTCCACAAATTACACGGTCTGGTCACTGAGGATGAAGGTAGTCTTAAGAATTCATAAGGCATGGAGTGTAATTGATCCGGGAACAGAAAAGAATGAAGAGAAAGATTACCTTGCAATAGGGCTGCTCTATCAGGCGATACCAGAGAGCTTAATCATGCAAATCGGAGATGTGGAGACTGCCAAAGCACTCTGGGATGCGATCAAAGCAAGATACGTAGGTGCTGATCGTGTGAAAGAAGCCCGATTGCAAACCCTAAACGTTGAATTCGATCGCCTGAAGATGCTCGAGTCAGAAACAATCGACAGCTTTGCCAGAAAGCTGTCCGGAATCGCATCCAAATCAGCGGCTTTGGGAGAATCGGTTGAGGAATCCAAGTTAGTCAAGAAATTTCTAAAATCTTTGCCCAGAAACTTCATCCATATCGTTGCTTCTCTCGAACAAGTTTTGGATTTGAAGACAGTCGGTTTCGAAGATGTAGTGGGGCGATTAAAGGCCTACGAAGAAAGAATCAAGGAAGTCGATGCCGGAAATGGTCAATCGAGAGTCTTGTTCGTCGCAAAATCGTCCGGTGGTGGTGGTTCGCCTGGTTCTCACGGAGGATCGAAGGGAAGGGGCGATTCGTCGAAGGGGAAAGGACAGAATGAGACTAATGGGTCGAACTCGTATAAGGGGGCAAATGGGTCCAAGCAAAGGAATTGGGCCTCACAAGGTGGCAAGTCCAATCAGAGTAATAATCCCAGTTTTAATAATGGTCAGCCCAATTCAAATTATAACCCAAATCAGAAAAACAAGAATAAGAAAGACCGGTCCAAACTTATTTGTTATCGGTGCGATAATCTGGGCCACTTTGCGTCTCAATGCCCGGACCGAATCAAAAAATTACAAGAAAGTAATTTTGTAGAATATGACGATACCGACGAGGCCGTATTTTTACACGAGACCGTGTTTTTGAATGAAGAGAAGGTGATACCGTCTCGATACGACTCACAAGACAACGATGTGTGGTATTTGGATAATGGGGTGAGCAATCACATGACGGGGAACCGGTCATTTTTCTCCGAGCTTGACGAAGGCATAACCGAGAGGGTTAAATTTGGAGATAATTCGTGTGTAAAAATCAAGGGAAAAGGTGCTATACTTTTCCAAGGCAAGAAAGGTCAACAAAGGCTGATGACAGAGATTTACTACATACCGGATCTCAAGAACAACATTATAAGTCTCGGACAAGCAACTGAAGCCGGGTGTGATATTCGAATGAAAGGCAACTATTAAACCATGCACGATGCCGATAATTACTTATTAATGAAAGTACAAAGATCACAAACCGCCTTTATAAAATAAAATTACAAATTGGAGTCCCTATTTGCCTTCATTCGAGACTAAGTGAAGATGCGTGGCGATGGCATGCAAGACTTGGGCACATCAATTTCGAGTCAATGAAAAGGATGTCCAAGAAGGGTTTAGTCAAAGGGTTACCTCAATTTGATCATGAGAATCAATTGTGTGAATCGTGCTTGGTGGGCAAGCAAACAAGAAAGTCATTCCCGACTATGACGACATACAAAGCGAAACAACCATTAGAACTTGTTCACGGTGATTTATGCGGTCCGATCACGCCGGCAACCAAGGGTCAAAATAGGTATATTTTTACATTAATTGATGATTTTTCACGATTTATGTGGATTTATCTCATAAAAGAAAAGAGTGAGGCATTTACACACTTCAAAAAATTCAAAGCTTTGGTGGAGAATGAAATTGGAAAGCCTTTGAAAGTGTTTTGAAGTGATCGAGGAGGTGAGTTTACCTCTCTCGAGTTTAATTCTTTTTTGTGAACAAAACGGAGTCAAACGCCATCTTACCACCCCAAACTCTCTACAACAAAACGGAATTGTGGAACGAAGAAACCGAATACTTATGGACATGACGCGAAGTATAATGAAGGCAATGCATGTTCCAAACTACTTATGGGGAGAAGCGGTAAATCACTCTACAAATCTAATCAATCGCGTTTACACAAGAGTCCTTGGTGATACAACTCCATACGAAAAGTTGTATAAAAGAAAACCAAATTTAGAAAATGTTCGTATATTTGGGTGTCTAGCACATGCAAAAATTGAACCGGTTAATCTAAAGAAGTTGGATGCAAGATCAAGACCACTAGTGCATGTTGGTTCCGAACCGGGTACGAAAGCTTATCGGTTGTTTAACCCGGTAACACAAAAAATAATCGTGAGTCGAGACGTTATTTTTAATGAAACCAAAGGGTGGGATTGGATTAAAGAAGCAGGAACCAACAATGAAGAACCGGGCTCATTCATAATACCATGGGACTATCCGAGAGACGATGCGAACAACCAAGTCCGGTAATAATAATGTTCAACAAGGAGCTGCAAATCAAAGACCCTCAAGAACAAGAGTACCTCCAAGATGATTTCAAGATTATGAGCTTGATCTTGATAATCTCGAAGAACTCCCTTCTAATAACCAATGACGAGCCGGTATCGGTTGAAGAAGAGAAGAAAGAACCAGAGTGGGTCACGACCATGGATGCGGAAATCAAGTCGATACACAAAAATAATACTTGGACTCTTGTGAACAAGCCTATGGGGTGAAGCCAATTGGACTCAAGTGGGTGTTCAAATTGAAGAAAAATACAGATGGCACCATTAATAAATACAAGGCAAGGTTGGTTGCTAAAGGTTATGTGCAACAACCCGGTATTGATTTTCAAGAAGTATTTGCCCCAGTAGCTCGAATTGAAACCATCCAGTTTCTTATAGCCTTAGCAGCTACTCATGGGTGGGAGCTTCACCACTTGGATGTTAAAACAGCGTTCTTACATGGAGAATTAAAAGAAACTGTTTACGTGTCACAACCGGAAGGTTATATAAAGAAAGGCAACAAGCATAAAGTATATCGCCTTACAAAAGCACTATATGGTCTAAGACAAGCACCTCGAGCATGGAACACGAAGCTTGATGGGATTTTGAAGAGTATGAAATTTCGAAAGTGCATGAAAGAACCATCGGTGTACCGGAAATGTGAAAGATCTAACTTGCTAATTTTAGCAATTTATGTTGATGATTTATTTGTCACAGGTACAAATTTGAGCATGATCAAGAGGTTCAAATTAGAGATGTCCAAGAACTTTGAGATGTCGGATCTTGGAAGATTGACTTATTACCTTGGCATTGAAGTTAAGCAAGAAGAATCGGGGATTACTATAAACCAAGAAACATATGCTCAACGCATTTTAAAAGAAGCCGGTTTACATGATTGCAATCCGACCCACATACGAATGGAACCAGGAAATAAATTGTCAAAGGCCGAAGATGAACCCGAAATCGACCCGACACAATATCGAAAGGTGGTAGGATGTCTTATATATCTCTTGCAAACAAGACCCGATATGGCATATGCGGTTGAAGTTGTTAGCCGATATATGCAAAGTCCAAGAGAATCACATGGTGGTGCAATCAAACACATTCTAAGGTACTTACGAGGAACAACGGGATATGGAATTAAGTACGAGAGGATGGGACAAAGGCGACTTATTGGTTATAGTGATAGTAGTCACAATGTTGACCCGGATGACGGAAGAAGCACAACCGGTCACATTTTCTACTATGGGTCATCTCCAATTACATGGTGTTCGCAAAAGCAAGATTCCGTTGCTTTATCATCTTGCGAGGCGGAATTCATGGCGGCCACGGCAACCGCATGTCAAGCAATATGGCTTCAAGATTTGCTTGAAGAAATCATGAACAAAGCGCAAGAGAAAGTGATTCTTAGAGTTGATAACAAGTCGGCTATCGAACTAACAAAGAATCCCGTTTTTCATGGAAGAAGTAAACACATTCACACGAGGTTTCACTTCATTCGTAATTGCGTCGAAAGGGAACAAGTGGAGGTGGAGTACATTCCCGGTGAAGAACAAAAGGCGGATATTCTTACGAAACCACTAGCTCGAACCAAGTTCAAGGAAATGCGGAGCTTGATCGGAATTAAAGAATTCTCTAGAAGGACTTAGAGATTCGGGGATGATTGTTGGAATCCTAAGTCATGTAGGACTTGGAGACCAAGAATCTTGGAGCTTAAGCAAAATAGGTTTAAGTTTCCTTGTCTAATTCTACAGGTCGGTAGTTTAGATATATATATATATATATATATATATATATATATATATAATATATATATATATATATATATATATATATAGATACCGAGTCATGGTTTGTACAGAAAACAATATAGGTTTTGAGTGATTTTCCTATTAATCAAAGAGATAGTTTGATTACTTGTGTTTTCTATTATCTTGAATCAACTTTTCATCTTCATCTGCTAGCTTCGAGTCACCAAAATATTGTCTCCTTTGATGTCTTCCAATTTTGATTGATTCCTTTGATGGGTTACGGTTTAGATTATTCTTTACAAGGCAATGATGTATGTGATTTTTGATTATGTTCATCGGTTCCGACTTTTATTCTTCTATACTGACTTGGACTCAGTTTCTTTTAAAAAAAAATGGCATATTTCTTATTATATAATTTTTTCCCTTTCCATTTTATATATGCAGGGAACAGCTTGAGTTGCAATTTATGGTCCTCTTGGACCTATCACACCTCAAAGAAAACCGATGATCAACTTCGCAAAGCAAAAGATTGTTGTTGCTGATGCTGTAAGGTTCTGCAATCTTCTAAGTAGAACTTCACATTCAAAACATTATTTTATGTATTAAATAATTTATTTAAATGCTGATAGGAATGAACGAAAAGCACACACACACAAAATTGCAGTTTTTTATAAGCAAAGTAAAATAAAAAAATGTTAACTGAGTTTTTATGTTGGTTTTCCAGATTGGATCAACAGAATGGGTTGAAGTAAAAGAAGATATGTTAGGTTCAAAAGTTGTTGCTTACTTAAATGTTGATATTGCGGTTTCCAAAGCAGGGTGGTGAAAATATTCTAAAGGTTACACCTCGAGAGTATAACCGGCTATCTCCTCCAGCAATGACCTCCGGTAAGCCTACTTATTAACCGATTAGATGAAGGAAATTTTAGATATTTATATACCACAATACCCATAAATATCGTTTTTTTGGTTAAAAAATTGTAATTTAAGCATTTACCAATTTGCCCCTACATAAAGTTTCATAATATCTGTGATTAAATTGCCACTACAAACATTATTTTAAAATATCCTCTACATATGTTTTGACCATAATGCAGTTTGCTTTGTTAATTTTAGAGAAAATAATTTTTTTTTTTAGTTTTTGACCAAAATGCCCCTACATATAGTTTTTAATTTTGCCCCTACATACATATTGACTATAATGCAGTTTCTTGGTTTAAAAATTAGAGGACTTAAAAGTATGCCTAAATTGCCCCACACTGTAGTTTTATTTGGTTACATGATTAATAATTATAATAGGTATGACCCAAATGCCCATATTAACTCTTTTTCCTAATGATTGCTAATAACATGTTTGATCACATATCACATACATACATTTGTTTTCGTTAAAAGTTGAGTGATTCAAACAATTTTTGACGAAAATAGCCCTTCATATGCTAATTAATTATACCCCTACATACGTTTTGACCATAATGCAATTTCTTTGTAAAAATGTAGAAAATTTGAATTTTTTTGACAAAATTGACATAAGTAGTATTTTTCCGTTATATATATAATAATTTTAATAAGTATGGCCCTGTATACAGTGTGTCAATAATACATTTTATTTGATTAATTGAATAACTTTCTTAGGTTTTTACTGTAATACATGAATGAATATGGATCATGAGTACGTTACCATTGTTTTATTTGGGTTTTTTTTTTGTATGATTGTTTTATTGGGGTGTTGATATTTTGGGCCTCCTTATTTGATTTCAAAGCTAATAACGAATTTTGTTTGCAGATCATGAAAATTTGGGAGGCTGTGGAAAAGTCAATCTGAACTTGCATAAAGTTCATTTAGGCCACCTTTTGGAGCTGGTAATCCTCTAATTTTTCCACACATTTGGGAATGAGACTATGGATTTATTAACACACAAGACCACGAGGGTAATATTGTCATATCTACAATCTGTTAATGCCATTTACTCCTTAAATTCTGTTGTTTACATTGTTTTAGAGTATTCTAATAAGAAGAAATCGAAGATCATAATAGTAATCATAAGAACAATTACCCATTGTTGTTTCTTTGTTTCTTTGTCTTTCTGTTTGATTTAAGGATGCAATATGCATATAAGTTTTGATGTTTTTTTTATTTCTTTGGAATTGTATATGGGATTTTGGTTTCTTGGGTTTTAGTGACTATCTGGACATTTAATCTTGAAGATGCTCTCTTACAGGATACAAATGTTGCAAATTGTTCGCACTCTACACAAGAAAATGGTTTGTTTTTTTTGCATTACTATGTTTATATATCCAACTTTTTATGACTTTCATATCTAGGCTTTTATTTATGAGTAATTTCTTTTGCATTTAAGGATTCAAAGATTAGTCCCCAGCAAAAGCAAAAACAGCCATAATACATACCGAAAAAGAAAAAAAATAAAACCCTGATCAAAACCGAACCCCGCGGAGCGGGGTTTATGAAAGTACAATGCTATAATTTTGTTTTGTAGGTTGGTAACTGTTAGTTATTGTACAATGGTATAATGTGTTATATGCAGTATGTGTAGTTTGGTAATTGTTAATTTATTAAAGTACAATGCTAGAATTTTATTTTGTAGGTTGGTAATTGTTAGTTATAGTACAATGCTATAATGTGTTATATGCGATATGTGTAATTTGGTAATTGTTAATTTATGAAAGTACAATGCTATAATGTAATTTTGTAGTTTGGTAATTGTTAGTTATTGTACAATGTTATATTTTGTACTTAGCTTGTATGTTTTGTATATAGAATGTTATAATGTTGGTTTAACTTATAAGACTATGTTGTTTTATTTGTAGTTGGAAATACTTCAAACAATGTTAAAAGATCCAACATGTAGTGCCGCACTTGAAGATTGGTTTCGTTCGTTGCCACAATGAAATGAAACCGGAGGAAACGAGGAGAGCGATGATGACGAGTAGCTAGTTGTAGGATTTTTGTATGTTTTGTTTGTGTAAGTATTTTAGACAAGTATTTTCGATATTTTGTATTATGTTAAATTGGATGAGTATTTTAAACGGATGTTGGATTAATGTTTTGGAATGGAAGGATGCAGGATTAGCTTAATTAATATCATGGCAGCTTTTATACTTTTATACAGTTTTTTTAAATTTTTAATGTGAAATAAAAAAAGATACCAATACCAGCAACGCCTTTAGTGACGACAGCTGGGTATTAGCGTCGACAAGGCTTAACGGCGACACCCAATTATTAGCGGCGACAACCTTTAGCGGTGACATGAAGCATTAGCGGCGACAAGCTGATTATCAGTGACAAAGCATCAGCCGCCACGCATGTCGCCGATAATACACTAATTTCTTGTATTGAAATAGGAAACAACAATAAGATGAACAGCCGTTTACCAGAGCAAACGAACGAACCACATCATTGAATAGTTCGCTTCGCGCAACCGGGTGACTACTAAAGCCTCTACACAATGAACATATCAAAAGCCAAGAATCAAATAGCTCCCTCATACCATATTGAACAAACAAGGGAGATAGAAAAAGTGGCTAGATCCTTTAATTACAATATAAAAGAAAAGACAATTATATATAGGAAAACTACTTAGGATTAGCCTATATAAGAAAACTATTTAGGAATAGCCTAACTAAATGGCTAAACAAAATCACCGAACATAAAATAATTCGAATACTTTATTATGCTAATATTGATATCATCCTCGTATTTTCCCCTATATGGTGAATTACAACTGGTTAACAAAAAGTTTCGAAGACTCTTCCGTTCATATGGTATATTGTTTGTTACTGACAGATGAACAGTACTAAAGATGCGTCCCAATGAAGATGATGATAACCTCTTACCAAAATTTTCCCTGTTTTTCTCGCAACTCTCTCTCTTCAGGGTTGAATCCCAATCGGGCCACCTATTCACATACGCATTTATTAGACAAAGGAGTAAACCCAAGAGTGCTCATACAACAAACATGAATCATGCACTGCATACCTTTAAGATTTCGTGAACCTTCCTACATATATACTTTTCCCTACTGCTTGCTCCTCGTTCTTTAAGCATCACAGGACCGATAAGATGAACAGCTTTCGCGTAGTGCTTCCTTACACCACGAATGCCAGTTATCTGTGTCAATGAGACCCGTTCCCAACCAATTTCAGGTTCAAGAACCTGCAAGTCGAAAATTTTAATTAAAATCGTGTAATCTGAAAGAATCTAGAGATACTTAAGCTGAAAAATGATCTTCCATGTAATTATAAGACAGAACCTAATAACTATTTAGTCACAAATCATATGTAAGTGTTTTAGCACAAGTTTTGGTTTAAGTAGGAAGCTAGTACATACATCATGTAGTGTTGCAAGCAGTGAACGCAAATTCCCTTCTCTTCCGGTGGACCACCTTTTGATCATATAATCATCAGGATTTCCCCCTACTTGCTGAAATAAATATTTTTTAACAAAATGTAAGACACAAATGTAATAAAGCATCAAAACTGGCTAATAATTTCTATTTAACTTGGGGCATTACATCTTTTTTTGCGTGTGGTGTTGAAGATGATGCCACGTTCACGTCACTTGAAAAAACATTTCTTCGTTCCTAAAAACACCAACAAACGAATTATGACATAATTAATGATCACAAAAGCGAACTACGTACTAAAAAACTATTGAAATTAATCCCATATATTTATTGTTAAGTTGTCTCAGTTTTTTGGGTTAGATTGCATTGCTGTTTCAATGTTATTTGATTTTTTGTAGTTATTGTTGATATTGGGCAAGCAATAAAGAGAAGAGTTGTAGAACATACTTGAAATTTGAGCGCAGTTTCAATCTCTTTCACGATTAAATCCATTGATGGCCGTTGTTTCTGCTGTTTTCCTAAACATTGTTGTGCAACTGTAACGAACTTATCAAACGAATCCTCTTCCATTTGTTGCCTAAGATCGAAACTGACATAATTATCTCGTATCTCTTCTTTAGTTGAGGTCTTTGCCAATACTGGAAGGGATCGGCGTCTATCATTATACTTGGGATCAAAACAAAATCTTGAGCACAAAACTTCGAATAATACCACACCGAAAGAGTATACGTCTGATTCTTTAGTGTATATCATCGTCTGTAAGAACACCGGGTCAGCATAACCTTGAGTGCCTTTGGCTTGAGTGATAAGATACGAGCGATTTTTGGTGGCAGGGCCATATTTGGATAAGCCAAAATCTGCAATTTTGGCGTTCCAGTTCTCGTCCAATAGGATGTTGGCACTTTTGATATCAAAATGGAGGACACGTTGGGCACCCCTGGGATTGTGAAGGTACTCGAAGCCACGTGCAGC